GTTCAGGTGTAAGGTTAAGGTGCAGGGTTCAGGTGTAAGGTTAAGGTGCAGGGTTCAGGTGTAAGGTTAAGGTGCAGGGTTCAGGTGCAGGGTTCAGGTGCAGGGTTCAGGTGTAAGGTTCAGGTGCAGGGTTCAGGTGCAGGGTTCAGGTGCAGGGTTCAGGTGTAAGGTTCAGGTGCAGGGTTCAGGTGCAGGGTTCAGGTGTAAGGTGCAGGGTTCAGGTGTAAGGTTAAGGTGCAGGGTTCAGGTGCAGGGTTCAGGTGTAAGGTGCAGGGTTCAGGTGCAGGGTTCAGGTGTAACCTGCTGAGGGATCAAGGGTTAGTTCTGACCCTGTGTTGATCAGAACATTCTTCTCTTTGGGAATAATTGAAGCTGTATGTAGAATCATTCCACTCTGTAAAATAACTGTCCAGATTATTCATTAAAAGCTGAAATTAGTCTGACATTAGTGTTCATGATGCAAACTAATGACAAAAACAACCAACAAAACAAATAATGTGTGGGTCTGAGGAGGGCTCAGAAACTACACAACCTTCTGACTGGTGGCTAACTTCAGTTCCATTGATGGGAAATCAGTGGTAGTAGAGTTGGGGGTGTAATTACCTCAAAGGTGTGGTCCAGTCTGTAGACAGGTGAGGAGTTCATGGCGCTGACCACTTCTAAAACACCGTTAAAATTATTGAGTTCCTGAAAAACCTGCAAGATCTCGATGATTCGAGAAACAACAGCGACTCTCTCCTCCAGGTTCTCTGTTTCTACAATACACCTGCAGACACAGCGGCAGGTAGCATCAGAACCTGCAGCACCTGCAGGAGGGGAGCTCAGTGAACACTGGGTGGGTCTTACTTYTCAAACCACAGGGTCAGGTTGGTGGTGTGTCGGATCATCCTCAGCAGGTTTGGAGAGTGGATCTCTTTGTCCTCTTTGGTCCAGACGCTGCCGACCAACTCTGATGGCTGCACTGCCCTGCAGGCCAAGGTCAGAGGTCAGAGTGACCAGGTAGGCAGGTGTGTAGCTGCCGTGAGCGCTGCCATACCTGAAGAAGTCGGACTCGAGCAGAGTAAGCTGACGGGCGATTTCAATGGGATGCAGGGTCATGAGATCGAAGCTGTCAATGCTTCCAGGTTTACAGATGTGCCACTCAGTGGGGGGCGGAGAATTCTGGAAGGTGATGTTGTGGCCCGACGGACTCACCTGGACCTGCTTCTTCCTCTGGATGATCTTAGTGATAGACTCCACCCACTTCCTCATCGCTTTACCTGCAAAAGTTGACACATTTACTGTGGTCAGAACGCTGAAGTGATTTGTGACCATAGTGTATTCCCAGAAAGAGGAAATCTGTACAGCTGAGTAAGCAGCAGTCAGGGAGAAGATGCCTTGCTCAAAAATACAGGGATAGTTGGGCATGGAGTGGAATCAAACCTGGACTTCATGGCCTWCCAACCACTGCACCACAGCCACTCCTGAGATCATTATTATCTTAGATTTTACCAGAGGTAAAGAGTCAGACCCTGACACTGATTCTTCATCCTGAGTCCAACACTAGATGGAAGAAGGTTCAGGTCCAAGACTTAGGCTCCAAGGCCAGAAAACCTTCCACCAGTTTGACAGTGGAGATGGTGGTTGTCTTGTCACTGTTTGGACAGGTGCCCACCTCTCACTGAGGCTATGAACTCCTCCAGTTGGCTCAGCAGGTGAGCATCTCTCTCAAAGTCGTAGAAGTGATGCTCCACCCAGTGACGACACACATTAAGAACTCTGTTGGAGGAAAAGCAGCAGGTCAGACAGAAGCTCTGACACACCTTTCATGAGTTCACAGGTAGAACAACAGGTGACATGTGGCTGAATGTCAAGAACATATCAAACTCACGCTGACAACACCTGTAGAGCTGATGTTTACTGGAGGTATGCTGGTACCGCAGACAATAGCTGCGTTTCCACTGACCATGAAAATGCACAAATTAGAATTTCTAAAATAAATTTGCTCAATGGAAACACGTCAATTTCACGTCAATTTTTTGACTAAATGATTTTGTGCTAGGATAAGGTGGTTTTCAGCTGTATAGAAATTGGGTGTATTTGGCAAAACTGCAATGGAAACAGTTTTTTCACATCACAGGAGTCACGTGATCAACAACCGTC